CTAGGGCTCCTTGGAGAAATGGCTGATTCCTGGACTGGGGCAGGGAATTACAAGATAAGCCAGTAACCTCTTATAGTACCAGAAAGCAAGGAAGGCTCCAAAAAAGGATGGGGGCATGTTGAGAGGACACAGGTACTAACTTGAAGGAGCTCCCAGAGTTAAATATGGGACATTTGAACAGCAAAGTAAATAATGATAGTAATGGATTACAATCCACAGAACAAAATAAATTGTGAATCATGCTTAATTTAAATAATTGAAAAAATAACTGAAGGAGAAGGAACAGCTCTTGCTTACATAGAATTCTAATTAATATAGAAGTAATGATGGAAATAGGAAATAACTGTTGGACAAACACCATAGTAGTGATTATTGCAGACCAGACCCACCTGTGCATGCTAAAGTTAGTAGGTCAAAGTATGGTGACAAATGGGATATTTGCATAGTCTCAAAGTTCTCTCTTCACAAGGTACTTAAGATATAAAGGAAAAACACTAACTTTATTGAGAAACCTAGACACATTAAACAAGTGTGCAAAGTTATCATCATCTGTAACAGCAGCATGTTACCTCCTGATAAAATGCATTGAAAAGTGCAACATCACTTCTATGGGGATTTTTTCCCCATTGTTTTAAATTATATTTTTTATTTTGAAAAAAAATGATAGATTTCACATGTAGTTTTATGAAAAATACAGAGATTCCATGTATTCTTTACCTTCTTCCCCCTAGTAACAAGTACAGTTGCAAAATTGTAGTTCATTATCATAACCAAGATATTGATAGTGATGTAGTCATATTACAGACATTTCCATCGCTATAAGGATTCCTGGCATTGCCCTTGTATAGCCTCACTCCTTTTTTTTTTTTTTTAAAGATTTATTTACCCCAGAGAGAGAGAGAGCATGCAAGAGCATATGAGCAGGAAGAGGGGAAAGGGAGAGAAAGAATCCCAAGCAGACTCCCTGCTGATTGGGGAGCCCAATGTGGGGCTTGATTTCACCACCCCAAGATCATGACCTTATGACTCCAAGATCATGACCTGAGCTGAAATCAAGAGTTGGAAGCCCAACTGACTGAGCCACCCAGGCACCCTGGCCTCACTCCTTTTAAAAATTGGGCTGCTTGTTTTCTGTTATTGAGTTGTAAGAATTCTTTATATATTCTGAATCATATGGAGTTTCCCTTCCAGTTTGTTAATATAGTGAATTACACAGGTTTTTTTAGTATTAAAAATTGTAGTAAAATACATATAAAATTTACCATCATAATGATTTTAAAGTGTATAGTTCAGTGGTATCAGTTACATTCATATTGTTGTACAACCATCACCACTATCCATCTCCAGAACTGTCTTTATCCTGCAAAACTGAAACTCTATACCCATTAAATAGCTCCCTGTTCTCTCTTATCTACTGGCCCCAGGCAATCACTATTCTGTTTTCTTCCTATATGAATTTGATTAATCTAAGTGGCTCATATAAGTGATATCATACAGTAATGTCTTCAAGGTTCATCCATGTTGTAGCATGGATTTCCTTACTCTTTAAGGCTGGATAATATTCTTTGTATATTCCACATCTTGTTTTTCCATTGATCTGTCGACAGGCGGTTGGGTTGCTTTCACCTTTTGGCTAATGTGAATAACGCTGCTATGAACATGGTTTTGCAGCTACTCTCTTTTAAGACCTTGCTTTCATTTCTTTTGGGTATATACCCAGAAGTGGAATTGCTGGATTATATCTAGATTTTTCTTTTACTCTCTCTACTTTCTATTCTGCAAGCCCTGTCTCTCTCTGAATATCTTTTCATTTTAGAGATTTACGTTTTAAAAGTTCTCATCTATTTATTTTTTAAATAACAGAGTAAAGCCTTAATTAAAAAAGACTGTTCAGAGAACAGAGTATAGTGGTTATTGAATTTCCGGGCTAAGTGGCCAGGAACCCCCCTTGGTTTCAGTCCTTGCTATTGCAGTATGTTAGTTTGTTTTATTCCCTTAGTAAGTACAGTATAGCAGACATCATTGAATTTCTCTGGTAATTCACGATCTTGTGATGCTGCAGGGTTATCATTACAAATATACACTCACAGTTCAGTATGCCACAGGGCAGAAGTTATTGGGGAATGGAACGACGTACAAACCCTTCTGGACTCTTTACAAAACTAAATCCTTGATACAAGTTTGTTTTCTCCTGTTAAGTATGTGCTATAAGAATATCAAACAATATAATGTTAAAATTAATTGATGTTTGAAAGATGTTTACTAAACTTAGTTTCTCATCTGGCCGTTTTTACTATTTTTTTCTTCTGTGCCTTCCTCTTTGCATCTGTATCCCCATATCACCAGATAATGGGCTGTCACCCTAGCTCGGAGTAAGCACACTTAATAGGTGTAACTTGTAGAAGCAGATGGAATCTGGAGTGCAGTATTCTGCACATCTTTGTCTCCCAGCTACATTTCTCTTTCTTTTACTACACTTCAAGGAAGAAAAACAGAGCTTTGGAGAAGACAGGACTAGAGAAAGAAAGAGGTAGAAGAGCTGAGATGAAGAGAAAGAGCAACAAATTTTTGAAGAAGCACAAAGGAGGAAAAGAAAGAGGAGGGTAGGGCTGGCGGGGGTCGGGGGGAGGTGGCAGGGAGCAGGGGGAAGGACAGGGTGGTTACAGAAGTCCCAAAGTCAGGCTTCATGGAGTCCCTCCTTTGGACTAAATAAAGTCCTGAACCCTGTGAGTCTGAGGAAGAATTTCTAGGAACTTCTACAGTGTGACAACTGGATAACTAAACCAGAGGTCACTTGAGCCAGAATGAACTTAATCAGCATCCTACAACAGGCATTTCTTGAGTGCCTGTCAGGCACAGCCTCCTGAACTCAGTAACCACCAGTCCCCCAGCCAAGAATAGAAAAGACCAACCTCCATTCCGGGTGTTTTATTCACCTCTCTGTCCTTGCCGGACACATCTTTCTCTGGTCTTGGGGCTGGAGGATTGGAGGGGAGGCTTGAAGTTCTGCCTTCTTTGCCCCTTCAGCTGATAATGCCCGTGATGCTTGGATGTGGAGGTCCTACTGTACTAAACTATTAATTAGTCTTATTGATTTGAACTTTTCTTGACAAGTAGTAATACTGTACTGGCTTTATAGATAACAAAGAAATAAAGATACCTGGCATATTTGAAACATAGTTCCCCAGGCAGGTGTGATGGGTTCTTCTCACTTGTATTTTTATCAGACTATATAGGGTTTGCATGATATATATATATGTGGCCAGGCTTCAAAGCAGACCTAGGAACCCAAAGGCTTAACAGTTTTAAGTGTACCTTTCCCATGTGTTACTCCAGAATGAAGATGAATATATTTTTCGCATAATTTAGTTACAATGAAATTATAACAACTAAGCGTACATTTTTGTACAGTCGTCAGGAAACAGAAATAAAAAATATAGGCAGGCTAATTGAGCCTAAGAAATTACTGATGTTGCACTGTTTGTGGCCTAGTTTGCTGCTCACATTTCTGATCTGAAATTGCTATTCTCCCGTGGCCTAAATAAGTTGTTAAAAAGTCTAAGGTAGTTTTCCTTACAAATGTGATTTCTGTCCTAAAATTGCCAGTCTGACCAAGAAATAAACAGGAGCAGGTGCTATGCCCCGGTGAGCGAATTGCTTGCAAAGAGATGCTCATGAGGCTATCAGGGATCGGTAGTTCTGAGCTGGGGCGGTTCTGACCCCTAGGAC